AATTCTACCATTATTGACCTTGCTATTATTGGTCTCTGAATTTTTTAAAATGTATCAAACCTATTGCATATATTTTTTTAAAAAAATAAATTTTAAAATTACAAAAATTTCAATGAAAATTTCAATGAAAATTGTAAGCAATTACAAAAACTTTAAGACTATCATATTTGTTTATGTTATCCTTCCTATTCCTTAAAAAGACGAGAATAATTTTCATTTGCTTTTAGAAAAATTTGACTTTTAGATGCTGTTAATATAAATATTGGCTTCTTAGAATTACGTTTGACAAGGGAAAGATAATGAAACAAAAAAATGCGGGAAGATTTAGAAAGAAAATTGGAGAAGATATTACATAGGAAAGAGAAATGAAATGTATCTTTATCTCCATCCTAGCAAATATGCAGCCTAAGTGGCAAAAAAAGGATCATAAATGTAATAAATTTTAAAATTAGATTATTTTGGGTATATGTTTTGAAAAAAGAGTTATTTTGGCAATAAATTCTATAGAAATTAGAAGCAATTGCATGAATTCTAAAATAGGAAGAAATATCCATATCAGCGACAATTTGAACTGTTTTGTCATCGCTTACGTAGATATATCTTTCATTATCATTAGACTTTCGATAATTTAGACAACCTTGCATAGACACATTGATATGAGTTGTTGCATCAAAATCTAATCACTATGTGTGTCTAGGTACCGCTATTAAATTAATTTTCAGAACAAATCAAATTTAGAAGCATGCCTTTTTTAGCACACCATGCGTGATAGTTGGTACAATATTTCTTTTTATGCCTTCAACTTCACAGAAGAAACAACTATTCTTTTTCTGATTAACTGATTTCTTTTATTGTTTCTTTTGTGGTGCCATACTTGCAGTATTTTTATCCCTTTTTCTCTTAAATCCTTTGCTTTTATTATTAGTGGTTGAGACCAAATGAGGATTCTCTGTCTGATCTTGTTTCAATCTTTCCGCTCCTCTATACAGTGTGAGATGAACTCATTTAAAGACCAAGTCTTCTGTTAACAGTTATAACTCATATTAAATTGGCTAAACTGTATAAGAAGAGATATTAAAATCAAATGTACTAATAACTCTTCAGAGAGTATCAATTTAAGTGCATTTAATTTTGAAGCAAGATGAGACATCTCCATGATGTACTATCTGATATTACCTTTACCATTATATTTCATTGAAACCAGGCGTGTCAAGAGCGTGCTAATTTCAGTCTTTTTGTTCTTGACAAACCTTTTTTCAATGTCCTAAAGGAACTCTTTAATGATAACTATTGCTTCTGATATTGTTTCTCTAAATAATTCCGAAACGACCTTTTTAATGATCATCAAACACAAGCGATTTGATCTCTTTCACCTTTCCTTATCCCTTTTTTATCAGAGGTACTATGATCTGTAAGAGGTGAGGGAGAATCATCTTTTAACGTAAGATCGAGATCTAATACTCCAAGTACTATCAAGAGGTTTTTTTTCCAAAACTTGAAATTTGAGTCATTCAGCATAGGAATATTATTGATGTTGATAGTAATATTCGTAAGATTATTTTCAACTGAACAAAAAACAGAAAATAATTAAAACAATCTCACATAAATCAAAATAATAATAAATTTAAATAATAGTAACCTCATCTCAAGATGGTGATATTCCACCAATATTTTATCTTTGGACAAAAATATTAACTCCTAAGTGATAACTTGGCGCTGTAATAAATACTAACAATAATAACATATTAAAAAATAAATTCTTTTGGGGCCAATTTATAATTCACATGTAAAAAAAGTCGAATAATTATTACGTGTTTATTACCATAAGTGCACATGCAATTTTGTTAAACATTGACTTTCCTTTGGACCGGTCAATATTTGCAAAATTACAAGTACTAAATTAGTTATATTCTAGAATAAATTAATTCTCACAAAAGATGTCACTTTGGTGGCATATTATTTCAAAATATATAATCACACCAATATTTAAATTTAAAATTATACAAAAATTTTGATCAAAATCAACTTTGGTTAACTCTAGCCAAAACGTGGTCAAACCAATCAGATCTGATCAAATCAATCAATTGGATCAAGACTTATTGGACCAAAAGTCCATATCCATTTCTTGACCCAAATTTATCATTCAAGCCCAAAATTTTCTTGAAGTGCATAAATACCTTATAAAATTATATATTTAGTGTGCCAAATATATGAATTTTATAAGGCTTAAATATCTTATTTAACTTTATTAGGGTTTATTTAAATTAGAGAAACCCTAATAACCTTAATATAAATATAGGCATATTTATTCTTAAACAAAGAAGCAAGCCAAAGAAAATACAAATCACAGCTGAATCAATGCAAGACAAGCCGTGTACCCAAGATCTGAGACATAAACCATGTAATCTTAAAAATAAAATTAACACACAATTGGATCCTTAAAAATCTCTGAAAATAAAGGGAAAATAAGATAGGGCAGCAACTAGATTTCCTATTCCTTGTTTGAGAATTCTCCAGTGCGCATCAAAACAGATTCTTGATAAATAGTGAATAAGAATTCTCCAGTGTGCATCAAAACAGATTCTTAATAAATAGTGAATAAGTTCGGGAACTCAAATATAAGTCCTTTTAAACTCGAGTGGAGTGTAAATTCACGTTCAAATTTGGGCAAAAGTTGCTGTCTACATCAGCTTTCAAGACAACCGTACATACTTTATTGAAAACATAAATTGGACGGTGACTTTATCACATGAATACGACAGGAACGTTACCAAGCATTGGCAATTAAATTACAGTAAACCCGCAATTCAAGGTTGTTAACAGCCGTGCAATTAAGAAAAAAATAATTGTAGTTACATAAAAACTTGAAAACTATGATTTATCAAATCCATATTATTTTTCAATAATCAACCATATCTTGCTCTGATACCACTTGTTAAGGTAGTTGTTTATATTTAATCTTTGGTGAAAATCAGCACATATTAAACCCATAATCTATATGGCGATTATTAAAAAATAAATTAACAGTAAAATTGCGCAAGCATACCTGGATTCGTATTGACAAACTGGTGCTTGAATTTCTAGAAATTTTGAGGTGATCTTCTAGGTCAACATATATTTGCCAATTTTTAAGAGAACCCTTTAATTTCTCTTTGGTATCTTTCCTAACGATGGAATATCAGGAAAGAGCTATTTTGTGGTACCAGAAAATACGACAATAAGAATTTTGTGTAACTTGGGGACTATAACCCTATTTATAGATAACATTCCTATTATACCTTGGATTCCTATTGTAGCCCATCATAGAAATAGGAAATACCCTTAAATCTCTCCACATTAAAGGTACACATCCTATTAGATATTTTAAAACTCAAATTATATTTGATCATTTTAATTAGATATAACCTTATTTAACAGTTTGCAATATATAATTATTCACATATAAATTCAACGTTAGATTAAGGATCCAACATTAGAAACCTAGGTGAAGATGAGGAAACTTGAGGTCTTGATCTTGTAAGAGCATAGTTATTAAATCCGGTTCGATTCGACGGTTCGACCGATCAACCCGATGAACCGACTATTAAACCAAACCGATTCTCTAATTAGATCATTTTTGCAAGTGAATCGTTGACTTTTCAACTGATCGACGGTTCAATCGGATTAAACTGGAAACCCGGCCGGTTTTGTAGGCAAACTGATTTTGAGGAAAAAAAGCTTTTCTAGATCATTTTTGCAAGTGAATCGTTGACTTTTCAATGGATCGACGGTTCAATCGGATTAAACCGGAAATCCGGCCAATTTTGTGGGCAAACCGGTTTTGAGGAAAAAAAACTTTTCCAGGCCTATGCTTGGATTTGAATCTATGACCAAAGGTCTTGTTTGTGCGTTAGTCACCTCCAGACCACTTTGTCACTTGTTAAGTAATAGCCATTCTTATGCTATATGAATATTTTGTTAATTTTATCTTTATTTCTTTGTAATTCTCCAAAACAAAATTATTTGGAATCTTTTAATAAAACTTATGACCCCTATATTCTATAAATTATAAAATAGATTTAAAAAATAACATACTACATAATTTATTTTAAAGACAAATATTGTTTTTAATATTTTTTTGCACTTAAAATTTGTAAATAACCTAGATAATTACAGTAAATATATACACTTGAAGTTTGGTAGATTACTAATTAAGTTTATATTTTGCTGATTCTTATATGAATTAAATATTCTATAGCAAATTAAATAAAATGAATATTTGTTATGACATTATTTATTACACTTTATAGCATATATCCTATATCAAAATTTATAAAATATAATATTTAAATATATTTAGTGACATACTGGTTCAACCACTCACCCACCGGTTGAACCAGTGACCCGTTGACCTACTTTTTTTGCCGGTCTCCTCTCCGGGCCGAGTTTAATAACTATGTGTAAGAGTACTCTGAGGTACTCAAGAAAGTCTTCATATTCTGGTCTCATTTGTTCATTTTTTTCATTTTTTCCCAGTTCATAATCAGTATCCAAGGCATCGGTTAGGCAGATATCATGTCATGATCACATATATTGTTGATGAAAGACCAGATCGCTTCATTTCTTAACCACTAAATCATGCAAATATATGAGGTCACTCAAGTGAAAGCAGAGAAGATTATATTGGCCTCTTGGGGTATATTTTGGGGTGTACTGGAATTGAACCAAATGAACAAAGTCATGCAAGTTTATAGGAATTCAACACTGAAATTGATTGCCCAGAAATTGAAGCTCTTATTTGTCTCATACAGAAGCAATTTTATCAAAAAAAATGAAGGATTAACGATTGATACCTCACAAAATCATTTCTGAACTGCAATTCAGAAACTGAAATTCCTAAACTCCCATCTACGGAACAGAAAACAAAAGCACTAGACGTATCAAAAGTCGACCTCCAGATTGCCAGAAAATATCAAAAGCATGCTTTTTGTTCAGAATCCACTGAATTACTAACCATTAATTCAATTCTTATCCTCGGGAGTCAGAAACAGCCTCATTCTTCGAATAGGAGTCCTCAAGTACCATTCCACCTCAATTTTCTTGGGCGAAAGTTCGCGGTACTTAGCAAATTGCTCTCTAGCTTCTTTCTTCCTATCAAGCAAAGTACATATCACCCCTTTACAAAAATAAGGCCTATAATCACTAGGATCCTGCCTTTCAAGTTCCTCATAAATCCTCAATGCTTCATCCACATTATTAAGCAAGAATTGTAACTGTGCCAAGATTAGCATAAGAAATCTCTCTTCCTTCCCCTGCTTCTCCTGATCAACCACACCCTCTGATGACTCCCTGATTTTTTCCTCGAAGCACTTTACATGTTCCTTAAGTGCAGACAAGTCCACCAACAATGAAATCTCAAACATTGTCAAGACAGAAGGCAGATCACCCTCCTGCAAAATAGGCAACAGAACTTCTATTGCTTCTTGTGTATTCCCCATTTCATTCAATAGTCTTGCAGCAAGAAACGTCCAATCTGTGATTTCTGGCTGAGCTGAGGTTAACTTGTGCAATGCATCCAAGCATTCTTTCTTCTTGCTAGCCTTCAGTTTCTTCTGAAGCAAAGTTTTCAAGGCCTCAATGGCCTCAGGATTCAGTTTCTGATGCAACTCTGATTCCAACACAGCCCCAGTGGCCTCAGAGTTGGATTTCTTTAAGGGTTGAAGAACTTCTTTGAAGACTCCGATGGCATCAGAAATGTTTTGCTGTGATGTTGGAGTTGGTGGAAATGGAAAAATTGCTCTAGCTGGTTTATTGAACTTCCCAAAGGACCCAAACACGGCCACCGCAAAAATGACAGCAGCAGTGGTGGTCTTGAGGGTGGAAATGAAGGGGTTTGGAGTGGAGGAGTTAGAAGAAGCAGAAGAGGCATTGATGATCATCAACTTCTTGCTGTGAAGGGGCTTATAAGAATGAAAATGAATTTGCTTCTTCAATATTGGTAAAGATGGGATTGAAGTTGACTTGATCATGAGGAAGGATGATGATGCTAGAGTTGAACTTGAGTCCATAGCTTCTCTGGGGGCTTTGGATTGAGGTCTGAGGTTCGGTTATTTGTGAATGTAATGTAAGGTTTTAAGGCTGTGGGTTGGCAATACGAATTGAGGAAGAAGGGAGGAAGGAGGGAGGAAGGCAGGAGGGGATCAGCTCATGAAGGAGGGATTGATTGCTGGATCTTCTAAATTACATTAATAATCAGCATTGCACATTTGTTGCATTAATTAATCAATCATCAATAAGAAATCCTTAAAAGTACTCTTAGCATTGGTGTATATTCCATGATCATGATATAACAATATGGTGAAAGTCTTTCTTTCTTTACCTTTTTGTTCTTTTATACGCTAATCATGTACACACTATGAATAAAAAAAAATTAATGCAAGTTTGAATTTAAAATTCAAATTTTAAATATGTATCAAGTATCTAACCATGATAGTATATGCACTATCAATACACATAAGATTTTTTTTTTTGAAAAGCAGTACATACAAGATTTACTTACTTTTTCTAATGACAATTACATGTGCACTTCATATATTTACAACTACAGTTCCTGTAATGGGAGTAAGAAGGGGAAGGGGAAGGGGAAGGGGAAGGGGAAGGGGCAGAAGGGGGGGGGGAGATATTGGTGGGTGATATGTCAATTGACTTACTTTTTTCAATGTTTCGCTTAGTGCTCTGAAGAACAAGAGGCTCAGCGTTCATATACACAAATTTCTCCATTAAGAGGAAGCCTCAGAAGGTACAACAGCTTCCTTAATTTAGAGGTTGTAATTACCATATACTGAAGTTTTAAAGATACCTAATTAGCATTAGATTAGATGGTAATGCACTAATTCATTACACCAAATAACCAATTTGCACATTTTGTGCACTTTACCTCCCTCAATCTATTAAACAAGCATTTTGCCTCCTTGTTTGATTTTTTTAAGCTAAAAGTGCTCTTGCTATATTTTTTTAATTTCTTTTGTTTATTCATTCCTTTTTTTTTTCCTTTCCATTACTTTCTTTTCTTTTTTATTTTTCTTTTTTGTACTTCTCTCATGCCACTGTTTCTGTCACTTTTCTGTTAGTATAACTAATTGTATGCTTATTATACTGTTGCACTTTTCTTTTATTTATAATGGCATTCTTATTTTTATTTATTTATTTACAGTATTAGGTAATTCAAGACAACTAAATAGCATGAGAAACTAATATATATCTACCATAATCAAAAGCTTATGTGACTAACAATTTGGCTATCTAAACAAACATCAGCAAACTGAAACTTTAAATTACTTATGCATAACTAACATAAACTTTGTTATAACGTTGATATTGTAATCACTATTACCTCTAATAATGAAAAATAAGAAAAAGGTAGAAATAATTAAAGAATAAGTTAAAAGAGAATAAAAATAATATATAGATAATAATAGAAAGAAAAGAAAGTAGTTGGTTGTACGATAGAAAGGACAAAGTTTTAGAAACTTAAAAAAATGATCAAGTAGACAAAGATCGAAAGGGAGAAAAAAAAATAAAAATGATTAATATATAATGGGGACTTTATCCTGAAACATCAATTAAGTTTAGGAGGGTAAAGTACAACTAAAGATAAAGTACCGAGGGTTTTAGTGCATTTAACAGTTTTTTATTGTCCTTGTCGACTCATTCTGGGACCTTGGCATTTTGGTCTCTGTGCCCATGTGTAGCAAATATAAACAATGGTGTATTATAAAGTGCAGAATTTGAAAATGTGCTTATTTTGTGATTTAACAATTTTGTTCCCATTATTTGTTCATACCCACCAACCATTTTTGACCTCAATAAAGAATAAGCAAGTCAAATAAAAGACAAACAACCTGCGGTTAGAATTAGATCAGCAGAATAAATACTAAAGAAGGAGCCACTACAAATACTTTTTTGTGCTGAAAATAAAATAAAAAAAGACAACTGACTTATCAATTTGCAAATTCAAATAGTCAGAACTAGCACTTGGCTGCCAAGAGGAAGTGAGGGGTTGTAAGTACATACAAGTTTGTTTATGAAAGGGGTTATAACACATGCTTTACAGGGAAATAGAAAGTTCAACATTTATTTGTCAAGCTTCTTACCAAAAAGTTCAAAAACCAAGTACAAAAAGTCTATTTGCCACTGGCCATTTGGTCCAGTGGTCATCACCATAATGATGATGCTGGAGGTTAGGGAATCAACCCCTGCCTCCCACAGTTTGGCCACAATATGTGGCTGATCTTAGTTGACCATCCCCCTGCCCCTTCCCTTAGACTAGGCTAGAGTAAGTTATACAACATCTATCGTTGCCGAAAAAAAAAAAAGTACAAAAAGTCTATTTGAGTTCTTTGTATATCTTATGATATTCTCCTTTTCGATGTAAAATTTTACAATGTGTTTTATTTTATTTTATTTTTTTTTGTGGGGGCAATCTTAAACTTAAATACTTCAAAAGATGTAATTGTGAGTGTATGTTGCAAGACATTCTCAAGTTCCCTGGCCTATTTACAAATTTTTGCCAATGTCGAGGGTGGTCAATGCATCAAACACAGGTTTTCTTCCGTTGTTTTTCTTTATTTCGCCATAAAATTGCATATGACAAAATCAGCAAGCTTAAGGAAAGGAAAAGTTCAAATGCGTAAGTGACGAGTGTGGGGTATATATATATATATATATATATATATATATATCAATTAGGTCATCCACAGTCAAGTCTTACACTTATAAAATTCTAAATACCCTACATGCAATTTTTCACAAGTAGAAGTGACAAATGGATATATGGTTGATAAATAGTTTTAGTTAAATGGATAGTGGATCAAATTGATCCAATCCAATTAAAACCATTTAATAAATGGATCTAAATGAATGTCATTTAAATGAATAGTGTAAACCATGATCCATCCATTTATCCATTTACTCTCCCAAATCCTAAATTTAAGATCCAAGTGTTTTTTGTCCAAAAAATACAGATCCTCAAAGTTCTATCCTTAAATCACCTAAAACCTTTTGGTAATAACAAATGCTTGTACTACTATGCTATTTCAGTTCTTCATGAAATTAGTTTAGTACCAAGAAAATTTAACTGCTATGGTCAATTTAACCTTTCATCATTACTCTAAGTATCATTTTGTAAAGTAATGAACAATAAAGAACTTGGCTACATTTTTATAACTTTTGGGTGAATTGAATACGGCTTTACAGTGAAAAGAAGTTTACGTTTCCAATTTTTTGCACTCCTGTTCAAGAGGGATGCCTTGAATAAAAGTGGAGTTCTAATAAGAAATCTTATGTTATTTAACAAGTAAAATATTTTCATTACATGTGCACGTAGTACATAAAAATGTATGAAACTCCTTATTATACCATTGATATACAAGTTACCTTATATTACTTAGTAAATTAGGTGTCTTTTTTTTTGGATAGTTGGGTTGGGTGATAAGGGGAGAGGAATTGTAAGTGTGAGGATTTGGATTCAAAACCTTCCACTTATTAAAAAAAAAAGTGTCATTTACGTATCTTAACCAATGTTACGGGGACACTCGTTAGAAAAATTCTTTTATAAATAAAAGAATTTAAAAAATAAAAAATTATTTTGACACTGCATGATGCATTCTCGCTTTTTCTTTACTTAAGAATGTAAATGTTTGCAATCATTACTACATGAGAGTTTAATTAAAAAAACAAGAGTAGAGACTAAAATATAATTTTGGAAAGGATGGAAGAAGTCTAGGAACTAAAAACAAATAAAATGCAATTAATGTTATTGGCAACTTGGCATATGAGGAAGTTATGAAGGAAAGAATAAGTGGTTCCACAAAATTAATTTGACATATGAGGAAGTTATGAAGAATATAATAGATGGTCCCATAAGATTCTATCCAATTTTTTTATAAATATTTGCAATCACTATGTGTGTTTTTTGTTTTTTAAGCTAACTGGATGTATATGGATGACATGGATAATTCATTTAAATTCACCAACATAATTGGATTTAAATGGTTATCCATTTAAAACCATTGAAATCCATTTAATGTTGGTTTATATGGATGGATTGGCAGATATGAATCCATTTTGCCACTTCTATTCGCAAGTATACGAGTCGTGATTGAGTATAGAGTATTAAAGTGTCGATCCCACAGGGAAAAATGTCAATTACCGGTGATTTTCGAACTCTTTTATTATTTAGACAATCACAAATGTAAGAAATTAAATCAACACTACAAACATGAGATAAAAGTAATAAAAATAGCAATAGAAAACTCCTAGAGTTATGGAATTCCTCACTACTCTTACAAATGAAATTATCAGTTAAGTGGATCCTATTACTTTGGCTAATTATGACATAATTTCCTAATACATGTGAAACCTATTCTCGTAGTGAATCAACTATACTTATAACTAATCTATACTTACTTTCGTGGTTATGAAATTAGCTACAAGCTCATTTCTTCTATCAAATTACATGAAACAAGTCACTAAAGCAACAAAGGTACTCCTCTACTCTCGTGAGTGAACTCCCTAGTTTTGTCACTCTCTTGAACTAGTATTACATTTCAATTCTCATTGCAAATATAACACTTTAAGATGATCAAAATTAATGACCGGTTAATCATGATTAGATAAGCAAAAGTGAGAAATAACTTGTTCAAAATAATATCATTAAATAACTAAGTAAATTTCACAAACAAAATATAGAAAATTTATCCATAACTTTAGGCATAAATTTTAGCTAAACATGAAAATAAACACCAAACTTGTATTGTAATTAAATATGAAATCAAATACAAAAGATAAAGTGATAGGAGAGAAATCACCCTTGTCACATGAGTTTCAACTCTCCATTTTTGCTCTTCAAATCTTCATCCAAATCCAGTTACAAATACAAGAAAGATAAACTACTCTAACTATACTATACTACCCTATCTAATAAACTAAGGAAATTCTAGTGAAGACTACATTTTGTGGAGTTTCTCTAACCTTCCAAAGTTGTAAAAAATGTCATCCAAAGCTTCTA